TTCTTTGAATTGTCTGACCAAGAAATTCGCCCAGTTGAAAGGGAATTGAGGCCAAGTCCAAGCTCTGCAAGGGACAATAGGATTAACATCACCGAAAACACAATTGTTCTTGACAACTTGGCAGAAAAGAGAACCATCGAGAGAATCGTGGCGCATAGAACCCCTTTGGTAGATCCCAGACAAGTCAGTTCCGCAGTATAAGAACCGTATATATATATATATATATAGTAGAAGGAGAGAGTCGAAGCTCAGGATCCACAGTTCTAGACAAATGAAAATAAAAAGGAGAAAAGGAATTCCAGGCATATTACCCTACACGGTAGGATGTTAAACCAAAAGGCATCATCATTGCCTGCCAGTGAAGAACGACGGTGCAACATTCGGTTGCAAATCCGCGAGCCTCACTCAAATTGCCCCGGACAGGAATAAAAATGCTCCATATAAGCATGAATGAGCTCAAATAGGTCCATAACAAAAGACATGGCATCTGGCGGATAATGGAAAGGAGACAGCATGTTAACATCATTCCAAAGGACAGGGGATCGAAAAGAAGGGTTGATGCTTAGACTCCAATAACTCAAGATAAGAGTCAAAAATCGAGGTCAAAAGCGAGCAATTTTCGTGGCTTTCCACTCCTACTGACTTAAATTGTAGGTCTATTGCTCTTCGACTTCGCATGAAGCAGAGGATGGATAACCTCATTGTTTCTAATTTGGAACTTGGCCTTAGCGGCAGCAAGGATATACTTTCCGCTGTGGAGATATATGAGGGTGAAACGATATAAGGAGAGAGGGAGCCTTTGCGTTGAAAATAATACTCTTGTATAGAAAGCCAGATAAAAGGACACGGAAAACTGTTTTGTTTTAGCTGTAGCGAGTTGCTCACAGGCCACTAGCAAGGTACTAACTAACCGTGCCCAGCGCACTCACTCCCTCCCATTAGTGAGTGCGCCACACCGTAAAGGAATTCACACCGTAACGGAATTGGTATCTTTTGTATGGATTCATCATATAAACAGTACTTATAGAAAAACATGAATATCTTCAACATCATAATAGATATGAGTTCTATATTATAATAGAAGTATAAGTTATATATCATATTTCAAGTATCTTTTCGCCCGGTTAGCGGGTCCGCCGAGCCCTCGATCGCCCTCGCCATTGGCCCGTCCGTCGCGCTAGGCCCGTTGCGGCAAGCCCCTTGCCGCTTCGGGGATGGCGCCCCCTCGCCGCTTTTGCGCCCTCTCGCGCCGCTTCAGCGGAACACCGCTCGATCTATAAAAACCCGTTTCGCACCCTCACAACGACCACGCACTCCCTCCTCCTTTCATTCTTTCTTTCTCTTTCTTCCAGCCGCCCAGCCTCCTGCGCTCGCGCGCACTGCCCCCTTCTTTCCCCCCTCCCCCCTGCAGGGATGGTGCCGTCTTATCCGGCCTTCACCCGTGTTTTCCTGCGCCTGCGGAGTCGTCGAACCGCCGTCTGACACTGCTTCATTGGCCTCTGGGCCCTCCACGTCGCCTCTCGCGATGCTACTTGGCTAAATTCTTGGATTGAGGCTTGCTAGGGTGTCCGCAGCCAATTTTTTTTTTTCACTTTTGCGCCTTTCGCTGTGCCGCATGATCGATGGCTCCCGAACAGCAGAGATTTTGGCTATTGACTTGATTGATTGATTTTTGTATATTTTTTCTCTTTTACTTTTTGGAATGTCTGTCTTTGAAAACTCCGCTTGTCTTGAGCTTCCCTTCGCCGATTGGATTGCGTGTGGAGATGGACTGGGCGGCAGCCGACCGAGCGTTTTGGGATGGCCGGTGGGCACGCTGGGCCTGAGTGATGTGGATTGCATCACTGTTTGTGCCATCAAGGCTGACTGCCATGGTCACATTCCTTTCCGTGGGCCAATAGTGAAAATGCTGCATTTCATCTGTGCTGGGGTGTGCCTGCAGGTCAGATCAGGGCGGGCGGTGTCAGGAGTGCATGCTCTGACATGCGAAGCTTGCAAAAGGTGACAGCCAAACGCGATTGGAGCAAGCCACAGGTTTTCAAGCTGCAGATGGTTTTTGGACCAGAACAGATGCATCAGCAGTCTCAGAAGAGATTCATGACTGAAGGGATTCACTCCATTGCTTTCTGTTGAATGGGACCTGATGAGGCGGTGGAGCCTCTGTGCTGAGAGCAGCTATAAGGAGTGGCTGGGCTTTCTATGAAATCACTGACATGTTGAAATCTGTTTTCCTCACCTGCACTCACTCTCCCCTCAAGCCCAATTCCTGCTGCCCTTCCCACTCTCCCTCAGATCCCCTCCAACTCCAAATATCCCTCTTAACAGATCCCCCATCTTCTACCCAGATGGCCCTCGCATTTCATGCGAACAACTTCAAGCCATGGAAGCCGCGGCATCCCCAGCCAATCTCACTGCGCAGATACCCTGATTCTCACACACCGGTGGGCAGAAAACCCCCTCCCTCAGCCTGGTGCTGTGATCCCTCCCCCTGCACTCTGCCACCTCCCAAGCACAGCCTTCCCTCAAAACCACCAGCCGAAGCTTGTGTACCCACCAGCAGCAATACTCAGCTGTGCTCACCATTGAGCTCCTCCTCTCAGCCACAAGAGCTGTGTATGCCGCCTCTCAAATCAGAGAAACCCCGGCCTGATGCAGTGCCTCTTGATGATCAGGCACCTCATGCTCTGAACTCACATCCCACTTCAGTTCATGATGTTCAAGATGTTATTTCTGACGCGCCGACTGAGTTGCCTCCTCTTGAGGGAGGCGCCATTGAGGCCGGTTCACCGTCAACCGGCATATCCTGCTCAGATGGTAGCTTAGAGGATTTCTTCAGACCCACGGATCTCCAGAATGACATTTCCATTGATTCAGATATTCTTGCTGACGACGCATCTTGGGGAATCAGTGATCTTCACCAGCCATTTCAGCAGTTTGATGATTTTGCAAGTCTAAAAGCAATCTGTCTATATTCTGAGCCTCCATCTATGTTCTGTGACGCCTTCAATGACCACTGGGACCCTGGGGACGGGCCTGGCAGCTGGAGTAAGAATTCCTGAACAGATGACAGCTCTCACGCATCGAACTATTGACAGACTCACTTCTCCCATGGCAGCGCTGACATTGACG